CAAAGACTTCAAGTTTGTACCCTTCAAGTCTGTAAGGCTACGTTTGGGGTCCAAAATACAGTAGGCAAGGGTAGTATTCCCTGGCTTAGAGATCCAAACCTACGGTTACAAAGGGTACAACGCCCTAAGTCCGAGCGACTTGGACCTAACCTATCCACCCTAAGCCAGGGCTTAGAAACCGCCCCAAAACCCTAAAACCTCCTACCAATTCCTCGAGACCCAGGCCTAAACCTCAAGCCCCCAAACAACCCAAAACCTTACCCCTCACTAAACCTTAAACCCTATACCCCTAAACCCCTCATCTCGGAGCTATAGCCCTGCTGCCCAGAAATCGAACCTTCAAGCCCTGAACCCCAAACCCTACACTCCGGAACTCGAATAGTAAACGGGTTTTGGTAACCCCAACCCCCGAAACTAGGACCTATGACTATCATAAGTTTTGGAAGTTGGGGTTGGGGTTACCAAAATCCATTTGTTACCTACAGGCTACGCCCCTATAACCTCTCCTTAACCCTGCACCCTGAATATTCTGGTAACTTCCATTTTCTGTTCGATTCCCACATACATATATGCCGCTGTATGCCTATGTATCTCCTATCGAACCTGTACCTAACATAACCATTATCATCCTTTTTCTTCGTGCTATTACTACTAAATTGCTACTGCTTGCACTATTACTTTTACGAGTATTACACATCACTATCACTCTTACTATAACCACTACTCCTTTTACGATCACTTTCATTACTGCTCCTTTGTATTAAGAAACCCAAGCACCTCAAATCTTCTCAGTCTCCCCTGGGCGACACGAAAGCCAGCTTCCGCCCTTTGGAGAGAAGAGGCTTGAGCCCAGGAGTCATCAAGATTCTAGCCTGCGGATTTAGGGCTAATGGAAAAGAAAATGGAAACTACTATAGTATAATAGGGTATATATTGGGGTTATATTGGGGTTATATTAAGTGATGTTTTATTCTAGCCTGCGGATTTAGGGCTTAGGGGGCTTAGGCCCTAAAACCTAAACCCCTGAAACCCTAAACCTGAAACCCCTGAAGCCTAAACCGTAGGCTTTAGGGCTTAAGGCTTCGGGCTGAGGGTTCTGGGCTTGCTGCTTAGGGCTTAGGGCTTAAGGTTTAGGGTCTGGGGAGGGTTTCAAGATTCTTGCCTGGACTCCGCAAAGTATTGGGGTTTAGTGCTGAGGGATTCCTAGAAACCTGACTACCTACAGCTTCACGGGTCCTACTTACACTAATTAGGAGGAAACCCCTACTAAACTGCAGGTCGTTGGAGTTACAGGCAAGGCCTAAGGCTTATGGTTTTGGGCTCAAGGAATAGGACTGATGGCTCAAGGTTTGGGGCTTCGGGCTGGCTTTTTGCAAAGATTAGAGGGCTACTTCCCTCTGGTTAACACCGAATGAAGGAATTGAGGCGAAAATGGACTTGGGACTTCCCAATGGGGATTGGAAGTGCCAGACTCCAGCCGTAAACCCTAAACCCCAAATCCTCAACCCTGAACCCTAAACTTTAAACCCAGCCTTGAATCCTCAACCCTGAACCCTAAAACCGTGGTAATTAGGGTGCATGTCCTGGCAACTTCACCATTTTGGCGCCAAGGACACTTACATAACCCCTATAAATATAACCCCTATGTAACCCCGATGTAGCCCCTATGTAACCCCTCTATAACCCCTATGTAACCACCCCAAAACTCTATCAACCTGAAGTCTAGCCACCTCCTTCCAGCTGGTAGCGGGATCCATAGCCACCTTGCATATCAGTTCGCCTCAGTCCGAACTCACAGGCTCAGAGGCTCCTACGTAACTCTTTTTGTTGGTGCTATGTTGTTTGTGGTAGGGGATTTTGGTATACAAAGCCAAAAAGGGATCTACGAATACAATACAAACTCAAAGGTCCTATGGTAACTTAGGGTTATGTAAACAAAAATGCACCCCAGCACCACATGTCAGACCGCTTGGGCCATAGTCAATCACCAGTGTAAACCCTATAACCGCTTCGTGTTGCATTGAAGGGCGTTACTTACTGGTGGTTGGCAGGGGATGAAGTAATGGGCTACAGGTTTATGAAAACCTTTTGTTTTTGAAAGCCTTCCCTCCGCCTGGACCAAATTCTGATGGGGTTAAGAAACTACCCTCAGCCTCGCCCAACTGATCCCTAACACCCCAAATCGAACCTTCGTGGGGCCTCGCTTGCGGGCAGGCAGTGGGAAGGTGGCACCGTTTTAATTTAGGTGTGTGATTTCATGATGCAAGACAAGCCCAGTTGCCTGTGAGCTTGCGCATCACAACTCGGAAATCATCATCCTCAACCTCACCTGGGCAGATGGAAGAACCAGGGTTTAGGGTTTAGTGGTTTAGGGTTTAGGGCGTAAGGTGTGGGCTTTGATGGCCGAATGTGGCTATTGCTCACAGACTGCCCTCCACCAGCAAACTCACAGTGCGCAAATTGACTCCTGCCCTAAACCCTAACCCTAAATGGTACTTTGCATGAATAGGAGACCCCAAAATGGCCCAATATTCTTCTTGCCATGGGCCTCAGCAAGGGCCCTAGTTTGAAACGCCCATATGGCTTGCAAGGGTTCTACGTATGCTTACTAAGCCTCCCTGACCCTCCAGGTAGCGTGTCCTGGCACGGGTTTAGGGCAGGACTTCGGAGTGAGGTTCTGGAATAGCACCACGACAGGGTTTTCGACTGGAGTTGCAAGCTTCCCCCCCAAAAAAACACACACGTCCATGCACCCGAGAGTGTTTGACAATAATTACTAATGAATCCCCAAACATATAGCCGCTCAACCCACACACAAGCCCATCTAGGCCCATCCAAGATAAGGCCCAAAAACTTAATTCCTCGTTCTGGGGGCTGCCCCAGAAAGGAAACCCTACTGTACCTTGGGAAACATGCACCCCTCCGTCCCCTTTAAAGGCACCCTTTTCATCAGCCAGCAGCATTTTAGAGAATCCTAATCAAGGTGAACCGAAAGGGGTCCGAAACCCTAAGCCTGTATCTTTTACTAAAGATCTGAAGCAAGGAGCACATCAGCTGCACTAACGTGGAGCTCCACAACTGCACACGTGGATCCCAGGTTCGGCGCTCTGAGGTCCTCGAGAATCGAGCATCTAAGTGATTCAGATAGGGATGATTTCGCATGGAGTGCTATTGAGGTTCAAAAGACCCTGAACATGCCCACAACACTTCCCTGGCTTAGGGCTTAGGCATAAGATTGAGGGATACGAGTTTAGGGACCAAACTTACTAGAATTAAGGAGGAATAAACGAATAATGCATATAGGGACTACGAGAAGGGATAAAACGTTCCACACTAGCCACCAGTAAGCAACATGTTGAAGCCCAAAAATTCAAGCGACTTCCCGACAAGACGACCGAGAGACTGCAAGCGCAGCATACCCTTAACATCCCTTAACCAACAAGACGACGGAGAAGCTGTAAGCTAAGCATCCACTAAACCCGAACCCGCCCTAAACCCAAAGGCCTAAAACGTGTGCCGACTGAGCTTTCGACTCCAATTACTGCTTGATGTCATGCCCTGCAGCCTGCTGACTGCTTTCCCTGAAGCTTAAACTGCACTGAAAAACTTGCCTGAACCTTTCATAAACCCTTACAGGCCCTTTTGAAGCCGCTGCTTAGATCGTAGGCCAAACAGGAATTCAGAAGTCTGAATGCCTAAGAAGCTTACTCGTTCATAATGCTGACACCTGCATAGCTGTCTCACAGCAATGCCCGAAACCTAACTCAAATGAAGTATTGAGGCCCTGCATTGCCCCTGCACATCCGCTGTGCCTGGCACAGTACCATACCATCCGCGCGGGCAGGTCGGTCAGCTGGGGCAGAAGGTCATACGGCTCCTCTTGCAATCGAAGCTCTTGCTCTGATGGGCTAAGATTAGTTTCATAAGCATGTGAAGCCATGTTAAAAAGTGCTCGGCAAATGGCTTGCATTTCAGGCTGAAGGCTCCAAGGTAGATGTTGGGATCTATGGTATGTGAATCATAGCTTCGGGTTTGGGATTGAACGCTTGTGGTATGAGGGATTACAGTAGGTTGCAGGGTCCTAGATGTTATCAATGGGAACATCCCCTGGAGCAACAAGAGACCATTTCCATGGTCTTTGTCTGTATCTCTCGCACTACAATCTGCTCTTACCATTGCCTTTGTTGACGACCGCCACGCTTAGAATGGACGATTGTCTAAATACATCCTTACTCTGCTGATGATGTTGGATAGCGCTTGCTTTGCTGCTGCTGCTGCTGCTGCTGCTGCTGGTGCCGGTGCCGTTGCTGCTCCTTCGCCTGCACCCCTCGCAGTTATACTGCCAGCCCCCCTCGCGGCTTTTGCTGGTACTACCATCACCAGCCCAGTTGTGACTACGGTAATCCTTGCTTCTCAGTCTTGCCGCACGATTGCCAGGTCTGAGCCCGGACCCAGTGTGAGCAGCGTGAGCATTCAGCGACACAAAGACTTGCACCCCAGACTCATGGCTTCTAAGACACATCCACGCGACAACTCTTCAATGGTAGAATAGGGTTCCAAAAATGCCCTAAACCCTAAACTACTGATGACGGAGGAAATCTTGCACTGCCTGGGGCCCCTGAACTACGGTTGATACTGAAAATCCTGCATGACCTTAGTATACCATTATAGCATAACTCCCAAGGTATACGCCCTAAACGCTGAACCCTACACCCGGAACTCTACACCCTAAACCCTAAACTCCCTAAACCCTAAACCCACACGTCATTCCCAGGGATGAAATGCTGCAACATTTCCTCCATCAAACGTACAATCCTCATTATAGGGACCGCAAAAACTCTATACACCTCCCCATAAATGGGTAGTTCCCAAAATTAGGGTCCCAGTTGGGTACCCCTAAATATTAGGTTCCGTAATCTATAACCAAAAGAGGCCCACACTTTTGAGAACAACCCATATCCCTATGTAAGATATAATCTAAACTCTTTGTAGCCCCCTTCATAACCCCTACAATATTCTCCTATATAATCCCATATATAAAGCCCTCTAAGGAGTTGAGACTTAGCTTATATGCACCCTGTATAGCCTCCATACAGGGACTTGAAAAGGATTCCTAATTTGTGGTGTGGAAACTCCAACAACCCCTCATGCATCCAAAGCGGCCAGCTCCGCTGCGTCGAGTAGGTCTATGGGGAAGAGCTGTGGGCCTTTACCTGAAGGTACAATGTTCAGGATCCACAGAACCTCTCCCCCCACCCCCCAAAAGTATGCAAACTGATCCCCACAAGTTATCGAAAACACAAATTGTTCTAGAGTTTGTTGGGAGTTCAGGTAGGGCTTTGGTCCACGGGGGGCAGAATTTGGGTTGGGGGTTTGGAGTTTAGTTCGTTCCAATGAACCTTTCGGGAAACCCTAAACCCTAAAACCCTAAAACCCTTAAACCCTAGACCCTGGGTTCAGAGGTCTCATCTAGACGGGTTGGGGCTAGCCTGCCAGATGCTGATATGCTGATTTAAGGGTATGGCAGATGAAACCTCCATTTACTCCTAATTTTGAATCTGAAGCCCTAAATCCTAAGCCCCAAACCCAAAACGCTTAACCCTAAACCCTAAACACCAACCCTAAACCCCAATCCCTCAACCCTAAACCCTAAACTCTACACCACCCTATGAAGCCCAACCACCCATGTCCCGGATCTCGAACTCCCGTTGGTTCGTTGCAGGACTCACCAGTGTTACGAACCAAAGGTCCGGAGACTCAGCGGGGGTCCTGAAAAGGGGTTCAGGGTGTAGGATTTAGAGTTTGGGGTTGAGCGTTTAGGGTTTCAGGTTTGGGGTTTAAGGTTTTGGGTTTGGGATGTAAGGTTTAAGGTTTAGGGTTTGGGGTTTAGGGTTTGGGGTTTACGGGGTTCAAGGTTTGGGGTCAGGGTCTACTTAGCTCTGGTTAACAAGGACTGAAGGAAACAAAGCTACAGTATTCTTGAGGGTTATATGGGGACTACTGTAAGGATCCATTGATTCATCCCTTGCTCCCCAGATACCTGATCCCTAAACCCTAAACCCCTAACCTCATAGTTTTATTTCAGAAGTTTTAGGCAATTGCTTTACGCAATTCTGAAACCCAAGTGGACTTCCCACACAACTACAAGGAAGGCCTTCGCCCAAAGGGCTTCAGTCCAGTATCTATTTGTGCTATAGTCTGAACTCCTAGTATCTTGATGACCCCTACAATACTCCCCTATATAATTCGCTATAACCCCCTTTAAGGAGTTTAGACTCGAGCTCATCTAGATAGCACTTCGTTTGCACAACTCGAACACAAACTTGCTAGCTGCCTGCTGGGGTTTAGGGTTGTAGGGGCTTATCTCCACTCGGTTTGGGTTCTGTCCTACTCTGTGAAAATGTACAATTCGTTAATGAAAGTGGAAAAGGACCGAGTAGAGGCCACGGGCAGGGTTTGCTTTTGCAGAGACAGCTTCCGAAACGTGATGACAACACATGCCTACAAAAGACCTACATGCGAGACCTAAACAGTTCTCTATGCCCTGTGAGATCTAGAGCCCTAAATAACCTGCAAGCCCCTCAATTGTAAACCTTAAGCCTTAAACTGGGGTGCTGTTACAGAACTTACTTAAACAGGTAGTTTGCTGTAGCCCCTACGTTCGCATGGCCCAGGGTCACATGGTAGACGTAGCGTGTCTCCAGTTCCAGCCATAAACCCTGCACATTGCGCTTGGAGCTCATGGCACCTAAAGCTAACCCTATGTTTGGCCCTATCCCCTATGAATCTTGAGCTATGAATCCTAAACCCTACGGCCCTAAACCCTACACCCTAAACCCTCAACTGCGGATTCAACTTATGATTCATTTCTCCCCGTGGTCACGACGTAAACGGGAAGCTTGCTGATCTATATGGGTGGCTTTGTTTGAAAAGTTCCCCAGAGGGTCCATGTAGCTAGAGTTCAGGCTTTAGGGACAGTCTTGTGGTGCTTGGGCCCCAAAGTAGCCCCTCTCGGCTCTAATATGCCTGCGTGAACCCTTGAGGTTCTTGGGGTTAGATGCTTCTAGCTAGCAGAAGGTCCCCATGTAAACATAGAGGATATAGAGAAGTGAAATGCAACTGCAAACAGAAAACTCCATTTTAAAAGCCTACAGAATTGTGTAGGGAAGCCCTCAACTAGGGAGCGTTTATGTGGTGTACCTAGTATAAGGACTATCATGTATTGGGGTCTATACTGGGGCCCCATATCAGCCCTCAAGCCTAAACCTGCAAGATTGTCAGCCGGTAGGTCTTGAGGGCGGAACGCTTATCGAGCCAGAGCGGTTGAACGGGCGAGAGTCTTTGATTGGCTTCTTGGGTATGAGGTCCCTAAACCTTATAAACCTTAAGGTATACGGGTATTGAGCTCAGGGTCTAGGGCTTGAGGGTTTGGAGGTTGAGGGTTTGGAAGTTATGATTCTGTACAGTGATGGCTTGTTGGTCAGGGATCCTTCTAGACTAGCCCTCGAGAAGCAGATAGAATATCCTCCAATCAAAGGCACATAGCAATTTAGGGCTTAGGGTTTAAGGTACTTGGGTAGCGCTACGGATTTTGTAGCCTCAGGGCGCGGGGTGCTGGGGATCCGAAGCCCTTTGCCCTACCCTGCGTAGCTGTTGAGGAACTTAGACTAAGTTACCATAATGGGTATATATATATATATACACACATAGGTTTGTGTGTGTATATATATAGAGTAAATAACAGGTTTTCCCCAATATAGTAACTGAATTTAAGTTCCTCAACAGCAACCACAATCTGTCTGGGGTTGAGCTTTGGGATTTTCGGGTTTGATATGTGGAGACGCCTAAGGCTTACGGAGGTTTAGGGTCTAGGGTCTAGGGTTTAGGGTCTAGGATTTAAGGTCTAGGGGGTACGGGCTTGAAGGCTTGGAGTTCATTTATCGCCAGCTGTCTGGGGTTGTGCTTGGGGTTGGGGGTTTCCTTCTGGGTATCAATTATCCAGCCATAACTCCTACGGCTTCAAGGCTAAGAGCTACCTGAATGACCTGGCAACCCTTAAGGTTTAGGATTTAGGTTTAGGGTTGAGGGTTTAGGATCTAGGGTTTAGGAGTTATGGGTCTAGGGTTTAGGATTTAAGGTTTAGGGTTCCGGCTTTATGAACCCCAAATCCTAAACCGGTGTCACTAAGCCTGGGTACCAAGCCCTTCAATTGGAAACCTGATGCCCCTTTAGAACCTCACCTGCAGCACCACAGGGTGTAGCGGGTTTTGGGTTGATGGGTTTGAGATTTGAGGGTCATATCTGAAGTAGAGCTCCCAAATAGCATCCTCTTGTCCCTATTATATGCGCAACAACTAACTTTTGTACACACTTCCCTCAAGCTAGTCACTGTGCTTCAAAGAGGACCAGCCCCCAGAGGAGATCCCCACAAGATCCTCAGACAGGACCTGAATTCGCATATACTGAAGTATACCAATGTGTATACATATGCGATTTCGATCTTGAGAGTTCCAGAATTACATGCACAATATCTGAGCTTGGGACCGTCTTGCTTGCCTGAGCGAACTTCTGGCGATTAGCAGGCATTCATGCGCAAGCAATTAGCGTCTAGGATCACGGTTCCGGGTTTGGGTCGAGGGGCAGTAAGCTGCAGGTTTCCGGATCAGGGTTTTAGGACAGAAAGGGCTGAAGCACTACGCTGCCTGGGCGCAAAACTCCTCAGGAAGTCGAAATGTGCTCACCATGGGGGAACGTGGTCTGGACAACGCGTCTTTTGAACCTTTAAGATCTTGGGACTTTGTGAAGATACGGTGGATGGTGGAAATCTTGCTTAGTAACTACTTATAACTGGGCTTATAACCCTACTTATAAGCCCCCCTTAAGTGGCCTTATAGGGGTTACCCTAACTATAAGTAGGGTTATAACCCCAGTTATAAATAGGTACTAAGTCCCATGAACCTCCAATTAGTAGAGGCCCCAATGTACTTACAACTCCTGCAGTATGACCTATCTGTACGGTCTCGAAAACTGATAGTATGTCCGCATAGCCTCATACTCCTCAATAGGTTTCATATAAAAATCTGTGTGTAAAGACATAGTCCCCCTTAAGTAGATAGAATATGGGGGTATATGGGGATCCTCTATAATATTCCCAAAGCCATGTTCTATGTACTTAAGGGGGACTGTACACGTATGTTCAACAATGACGCGCTGACAGTGGAGACAGCTACAGATATGGGGGGGTTGGAAATACATCGGCCGCGCTATAAGAATGCACTAGAATTTTGACAGCTTATCATATCACGATCGAGAGGTACTTTGATTCGCTTCGTTACTTGATATTGCTTGACTTGAAGGACTAGAACACCTTCAGATGGCAACACCCCAAAACATGCCCTACACCCTGAACCCTAAACCCTAAACGCAAGCTGAGGCTGGCGCATCGCTTGCAACAGCGACAGCGCGTGCCTGTGCGCGAGGACTCAATGCGCTGTTTCTGTGGAGAGCTGGCTGGCTGCTTGGCATAGTTGATAAGCATGAGGATTTCGTGGGAGTTCTACCCCTTTACCCCCCAATATATACCCTTTAGGTCTCCCCCCACTCCATCCTGAATCTAGTCCGTAGCTCACATATACAAATGGCCAGGAATAACAAGTTTCTACATTAGGGGTGCAACATCCGACAACTTTCCGGCCAGTCTGCCCCTAAACCCTAAACGCCAGGTTCACTGTGAGGCTTTGGGGTTGTTTTGGGGGAGGGCGTAAGAATGTGCGGCTTCTTCTGACAGGAACCCTATAGTCCCCCTTAAGTAGAAAGAATATGGCCTCGTGTATATTATATTAAGATCCCCATATACCCCATATTCTATCTACTTAAGGGGGACTATAAACCCTAAACTTTAAACCTTCTTGGAATTCATGATCAAAGGACAGGACATTTCGATGGTTTACGGGGGTGCAGCTACGTCCCATGAACATCCAACATTCAACATTCCCCAGAGCAGGCACCGCCATATCAGCCATTCTCTAAACTCCTAGGATCCGTCTTTAATCCCTATATAACCCCCTTTAAGGAGTTTAGACTGTAGCGCCTACACCCGTAACATGGTGCAGTATTGAAACAGGACGCCTCCAAATGCTACCGATCCTGAGGCGAGGTGAGAAGGGAAGAATAGATCTGGTCCCAAACTCTGCAAATCCCACCAGAATGCAAC